CCACCCACAAAATGGTGCAAATAAGAAGAGGGTTGCTCTACCTTAGAAGTCGTGATTTTGTTTAGTATAACGAAGCTATGGTCTGGTATGCTGGGAGCTAATTTATTTACCATAAAATCCGCACGATAATGGCGTGAATTCCAGAGGAGTTGATGATGCTACGATGAGATGAAGTCGAAACTTAGTTCGGGCTGGATGGTGATGGTCTTTTTAGTTTCATGGAGAAGGAGAAGCCCATCCTTCCTTTCCTCGAGGGAGAACTTTCTATCATTTCACTGCTGCATATGTTTTAAAAGCTATTAGTGTATCTTTTATGCGGACTAGAAACATCTTCGGTTACTTAAAGTGATGGAAGGCCTACGGTTTGTGCTTCCCACAGTGAAACAAATAAAATTTCTCAACATGCCAATAAAATTTCCCTTTACTGAAAGTCAATTCTGACCCCATCTGCGTGCCTCATCCGCTCCCAACGACTGGTCTTCCATTCGACTAGGCAACCAAAATGCCACTGGTTAAGATAGCAAGCTATACCTCTCTTGCATACCATTTCTTAAAAAAGGCATCGAGGGCAAACCTGTATTCTTTACTAGTCTTGATTACACTACTATTTACCAAGTGAGTAGGCTTTAAAACTATTAGTAGAACTTTTATAACAATTACGCTTCATCCTTGATGGGAAGTTCTTTTAGGATGTTTCTTCTCATTTTATTACGGGCTAAGCAACTATCAGGCTTTACATCATATTAGGCGACCTAGTATGCATTTTCAGCCTGACAAAGCATCCCTGCTGATGCTGACTTTGTTGAAGATGGGTTGCCGTGGCAATTAAAAAGACCTCTTTACCACAGTCAGACCCAAATTAGCGAAACCATTCGTGCCAATAAAATCTGAGGCAAACAAGTGGGGCCGGGGCTTGTCTGCACGAGACCGCCAGCATTGTTCTTGTAAAGCCAAAAATAGTCCGTTTGAAGCCCTCATAGGACTCGGGTGCAAGGGTCGTTTGCCATCCTCCCTTCAGCTCACCACCCTTCTTTGTAATGGACTTAATCTTGTGGGCCAATCGCCAGGTCGCCACAGCCCATTTGGCACAATTTCTCTGATCACTGCACATGTCAGGCTGGCCATGTTCATCAATAACCTCTGAGAAAAGGCATTCGGGCCCTAAGTCATAATACCTCCCCACTTCCACTTTCCTCATATTCGACTCTCACCCTCGTTCCCATCTAACCAGGCATCTCTTTCCCAATCCTCATTGTATGTGTACATATGTAGGTAGTGACAAGATAATTGATAGAAAGGAGCGGGCAATTCTGTCTCATGTATAAACTCACAAGCAGCTAGGTCGA